AAAAATTTTTGAAAAAAATATAACCAAAAAAAAAAAAAAAAAAAAAAAAAAAGCGGGGGGGGAGAGGCAGGGCATTGGGGAGTAACCAGGGAAACTTGGGGGCGGAAGTTTCTGGAGAAAATGCAGTTTGCCCCTAAGACTGGCTCTGTATGGCTGCCCTAGGCAACCACCCAGCTCATTTGCCCCTAAGACTCTAGAGGTACATCTAGACTACAAGCCTCTTCTGAAGGAGAGCATCTAGACTACAGCCAGTACTTTTGAAAAAGCTAGCCGTCTTTTTGAAAGAGCGCACCCAGGCAGTCTGGACTCTCTCTTTTGAAAAAGCACAGTTTGCAGTCAATAGCATACTTTCGAAAAAAGGCGTTATTCCTCGTAAAATGAGGTTTACCACGATCGAAAAAACTGCCGCGGTCTTTCGATTTACTTTCGAAAGAACGCGGCTGCAGTCTAGATGCAGGTGAAATTTTTTCAAAAAAACCCTGTAGTCTAGACATACCCTAAGACTGGCTCTGACTAGTAGGGTCAATTAGTTGGCTATGCACTTTTCTTAAAAACGGTTTGCCAGTGTGATGGCTTTGACAGTGTTTTACTCCAGTGTGTGGGCATGCAGGTCTGCACCAGTATAACAAGATAGGCATGCTAGCTCATCTTGGCTCCTGCATGGGCAGTGGGTATAAGAGGCAAGTGGAAGCAATGCCTTCCCTGGTCTTAGGCTAGAGGTATCCTGGAAAAACTCTGCCGTGTCCAGGGAATGTGTCCGCTTTTCACATCAGTTTCCGAAAAAGCAGGTGCTCTCTTTCGGAAGTTCTGTATTCCTCATTTTATGAGGAATAAGAGCTCTTCCAAAAGAGGAGGTTTTTCTCACATTTGGCCTCATGTAGATGGGCCACATGTCAGAAAAGCCTCTTCTGAAAAAAGAATCAGAAAAAAGGTACATAAATTGTAGTTCACAATTTGCGTATCTTTTTCCGAAAAATAACTGCAGTGTAGACATAGCCTGAGTGCTCAACCTATCCCCTCTTCCTATTCCTATTCTGCCTATTCCTAAAGGCTCCCACAATAAGTAGGCTGTTGCAGCTTGCAGACTAGTGACTCTTCCCCCTAAATGGATCTTTTAATGTAAAAGTGAAAAGCTGTCCAGCTTGCCAGAGCTATTAGCATAACATTGAACCTGTGAAAGAGCCATTAAGTGATCATGAAACCATGACAGATACGTGCCAAACATGAATTTACTGACAAAAACAATGTGTATCACAGACAACATTCCTTTTTTTCCAGATAGCAGTAGCAGCCCCAGTGGCCCTGGAGCCCTGGCATCCCCGAGGCAGTGGAGTCCCACGGGTCCCGGCTGCCCTGAGTGGCGGAGCCCCAGCAGCTCCAGGACAGCAGCTGGCCCAGTGGCTGGGCACGGAGCTGGGAGCCCAGTGGCAGGCATGGTGGGGGAGGAAAGGCAGAGGAGCCCTGCAACTGGGTGGGGAGCCTTGCTAGGTTTGCTTACAGAGCCCAGAGTCCACCAGCGGAGAGGTGGAATTGTCCTCTCCTGGTCTGGCAAACTCCCTCATTCCCGACCAGTCAGGTCTTGAGGGTGCCAGACCAGGGAAGTCCAACCA